GGACCACGGAAGTCTCCAATGCCCCACACAGGAATGGGCCCCCAGAGCCGGCACTCTCGGCTGTGGAAGTGGACAAGAATGGGTCAGAGTCCCTGTATCCTTCCCAGAACACCCTATATCTTTCCCTGGGCTCTGGACACTTTGCCTCAACCTTATTGAGAAAATACTGCCCAAGGACCCCCCGAGGCTGGCTCTCACCCACACAGCAGGCTCGGCAGCCTTTGGTGTCCTGGACCTTAGTGGAGACCATGTTCTTTCTGAAGAAGAAGGAGGTGTGAGTGGCCACGGGGATGCAGTGGGGGCAGGGAAACCAGTGATGCCCTTTAGGGCTGGTACCTTGCCAGAAAGCGGTGAGGACTGATGTGAGCAATGGGGCTTCCTGTCCGGATCTCCTTGCTCTCCAGGAGGCCTAGGATGCTATGAGAGTACAGGTGGGGGGTCTTCCCTGCAGCGTGTGAGGGAGGGGGAGGGGAGGGGGAAGCAGTTTTAGGACTCCTTGCCATATCTTGTCTACCAGCCCTTGGCTGGCTCCGGCCCTTTGAAACGCCCCAACACGCAGACCCCCCTTGCCTTTCACACCTGAAAGGACCAGTTTGGTCCAGGCACTGTGATCTGCTTGGGAAAACAGAGAGCAGGATCTGCCCTCAGAGCAAAAGGTGAGTTTAACTAGCCTGTGAAGTTTGCACCTCAGTTTTATTTATTTATTTTTGGTGCTTGTTTCTCAAAACAGGGTCTCATGGGATCCAGGCTAGCCTCTGATGCCCCCATGTAGCTGAGCCTGGTCTTGAACTCCCATCCTCTTGGCTCCACCCTGAGTGCTGGGATTACAGGTGTCACCACACACCTGGTAGATATGTCAAAGTTTAACAAAACAAAACAACAACAACAAAAACCTACCTATGCTGGGAGTGGTGGCACCTGCTTGTTAATCTCAGGACTTGGGAGGCTGAGGCCATAGAACTGCCCCAAGTTCAAGGCTAGCCCGGGATACACAGTGGGAATTCTGTCTCAGAAAACATGGGGAAGGGTGCTGCTGGAGACACAGCTCAGTGGTAGCATTTGTAAGTATGCAGCAGTCCTGTTCTCAAAAACCAACCAAACAAAACCCCCTGTAACTTCCTCCATCTATGTTACAGACTGAAGGGGAGAATAAGTCATGACTCTCAGACCCGCCTGCCCAGAGATGTCAAAGGTATTTAAGGATGAATTTATCAGTAAAAATGAACTAACAGCCAATGTGGGAGGGGAAGATTCCTGAGGCAAGAAAAATTTCGAGACTGTGCTGATATGAAAACTGAGGCTTCAGGTCACCCAGTAGGGAAGTGGTGGGATTTGAACCTCAGACTCAGTGACGCTGCAGACTCATCCACACTTTACCCGGCATGCACCCACCCATCCCTCTCCTCCTGGCTCCCGCCCTCCACAGCCCACAGGCTGACCTGAGAGAGACATGAGAAGGTTGTTGG